ACACACACACACACACACACACACACACACACACACACACACACACAGACACACACAGCAGCTCTGTTGGCTTTGATGGAGGCAGTAATGAATATGTAACACAGTCCTTACAGCGCTTTGTATGTGGGAGCTTTGTGTAAAAAAGTGTGTGTGTGTGTGTGTGTGTGTGTGCAGCGGGTGACAGAGGGGGTAAAGGGTTTTGGGTTCAAAGAGAGAGGGGGGAGACGGAGGGGATTGTCTGGCGGGTACGTTGCTGCATGGCTGATACTGTGAAAAAGTTATTGTAAAAAAAAAAAAAAAAGGGTGGGGGGGGAGAATAATAAGTTGCTGCATCTTTATGGCGCGCTAGGCTTTCCCCGCCGGCAGCAGGGCAACAGATGTCTGCTGAGTGGTACTCGCAACTGGTGTCTCCCCTTCACACACACACACACACACACACACACACACACACACACACACACACACACACACACATACTAGAGCGGGAATAAAGACGCAGCAGGACAGACAGTCTTTGACACACACACACACACACACGCGGTCAAATGTGAAAGCTGCATACACACAAACACTTACCGAGGACGACAACATCTTTAGCCAGCGCACTATTTTGCGTCCTCCAGCCTAATGTGACCCAGATAAGAAGAAGAAGCTTGCTTTTTGTTACACCCGCCCCCTCCACATCAAGTTTCATATCAACACAGATCACACTGTTTGAAATTCAAGCAACTGCAGCACCAGAGCCACAGCTGCAGACTGAAGTAGCCGGTGTAGTCCGGTGCTACACACACTCTCATGACTTAGGGCTGCACATGAAGAGTTCTTGTGCTGTACTGGTTAAACTGGGGCCCTGTGGTACGCACGGTTGTAACTCACACGACATCATCTTTTCCTCTGCAATATGTCACATCCCAAAAACACCATCACACAGAGAGCACCGTCTCCTCTTTATTCCAAACGTATCAGTAATTTAGGTCAAGTATTTAGGGAGGTCAACATTAACGTGTTTTATGAAGCTGCAGCCCTGCAACCTGTCCTGCATGAAGCACTGTTACAGCTACGGCCCTTCGCATCATCTGACGGAGGTAGTCCCACTTTCTTTTCTTAAGACAGAGATCAGCCAAAAAAAGAAAGATGCCTAGAGGGCAGACACACTTACCAGGCTTTAAAAGATCAACGAACAATGGAGGAAGGGAAGTCGATCAGCTCATTTCCACACATTTAAATCCTTGAAAACCAGATTGGAGAAACACGGCAGGTGACACAAGAGGAGAAACAAGCCCTTAAGTTCCCACAGCAGCTACATCCGAGGCCGAACGCTCGTCAGCATCCGACTCCAGACCAACGCCTCTGTCCTCCCCGGTGTCGTCGGGAGCTGTGTGTTTATTTTTATTTTTTTTACTACACAGTAGCAGGCAAGTTGGACAATGAGTGGCAGAACAGATGGAGCAACAATGTCTGCCATTCCCCTCGTTGAGAGTGGCTGCTCTTCCACCAATCAGGGAGGAGCGGCCTCACAATGAGGAGCAGAGACAAGGGGGAGGAGGAGGAAGAGGAGGAGGAGGAGGAGGGGGAGTGGCTGTGGGCAAATGCCTGCAACACCCAGATTCCCCAAGGCACGCGTACTCAACATGCACCAGCGCACACACACACACCACTCTCCTGGGCCTGAAAGGGCTTCCCCTGTGTGGCCGATGAATCAACGAGGGGTGGGCGGCTGAACAATAGAGCTACACAATGGGAGGCCGTGGAGGGCAGCTGCAGTGTGAGGGCTGGTGCTATTACGGCCCGGGGCAGCAATGGAGAACACCTGGCTACAGAGCACCACAGTCACTCTACGCTCTTTGTATGGGGCATGGGGGGGCTCCAAACAGAAAGAAAAGACCAGGGCTGGCTGACAGACTGGCGTGGCCTTTAAGAGAGTGCAAGAGGAAAGAGGAGAGTGTGTGTGTGGGGGGGCGAGAGACATCAAAAAGTTTTATGTCCCAATGAGGAAGAGGAGGGGAGCTGTTCCTCATTGTTGCAGCACACTTAGGGCAGATGACTCGGAAGCACAAATCTTTGCCTATTCTGTCTTTACGTCCCGGTTATTATGATCTAAAAGTACAATAACAATATGTTTATTTGCACCAGTGTCATTGATGCAAATACATATAATAAACATACAAGTTCTGCATTGCATAATTCACTAAAAAGCTTGGAGTGAGCTACTTTAGCGCAATACGATCCAGACTACTGGAACATGCATATTTCCTTATTACAACTAAGGAATCTGGGTCAAAGCCAGGAGCAGTTTATGTTCCAATAAAAGTAAGCTGTGCTCAAATACTAGCTGCTGAACGATAGCGGGCTTCACCTGCAGATTCTTGAAAGGCCAACAAAAAGGCGTCTGTTCGACTTAAACTGAATAAACTCAGAGTTCTCTCAGGTCAGTGGCTCAACAGGAAAGCAACTGCCCGATTAAATAAGAATGTGGTCCGAGTCAGCTTTGCCCAGAAAGATAAGGCCGATGAGGGGGAGACACAACAGCTGACCAGCTGCACGGTATCTACACACACACACACACACACACACAGAAGAACACTCTGTCGACCATCTGTCCTGACAAACAGGTGTATGTGCCGCTCCCAACAACTGCAGCAGCAGGATGATCGTTTTTCTCTCTGGAGACAGATGAATGCACACAAAACAAACTGAAGCCGTTGGGTTCAACAGCAGAGAAAGAGCAATTACCAGAGAGCTCTATTGCTCCAACTAATGGATGGTTATGATTCATTGTTGATTAGAAACTGTGAAACTGTGAAAAAAACTCAGAGACTTCTTAAAGCTGCTCACTCAACAGTCAAAAACGCAAAAAAAAAAAGAGCCAAAAACAACCCCTGCTGCACCCAGATCTTTAAAAAACACAATCAAATTAAGAGTTTTTATCTTTTCTGGCTCATAAAACTATTTGCAAAAGAGCTCTTTGCAAGGAAGTGCTAAGAAAGACAGAAGTGTGGGGGGTTTAGTTCAAGTTTAGAGTCGGGGAGGATGCACAGAAGTTGAAAAGAGAGGATGGAATAAAAAGACAGCTGCTGGGGCTCGTGCTCACATCAACCCCTTCCCTGACTGGACTGCTACTGTTATGATGCTCGGGGAGCCACCACCAACCAGTGAGCAACAAAGACACAGCTGTCAGAGAGAGAGGACACACAGATGAACACTAGACAGGTGGGTGAGGAGGAAAGGGGTCTACAGTGCTCCGTTATGAATCCAGCAGAGAACTAGAGGAAGCTTGTGTATTGATCAGGCCTCCTTGCACACACATTATATTTCCTGTGGTTTGAAAACCATATAAAATATATGATTTAAAAAAGAAGCCCCACACAGCAGCATCCCCGTGATCTGCCTGTTGAACTATATTATGGATGTTGGAGGGAGCGCGCGCAGCGGCGTGCACGGTCACTGCAAAACCCAAAAACCGTCACGACCTCCCTGCAGCTTTCACCCACAGCAACCTGCGGCTCCTCTCGCTTACGAGTCCCGCTCATTGGACGCTGCACACGGTACTCACCCGGTCACCTGGAGCCGCACGGTTTACCTCGGTGGTGAAATGAGCAAAATCTTCACCATCACATACTGGCGCGTGCGAAAAAACATCCGGCTGGATTTGCAGCGTGACCCACAGCCAAAGTGCGTCAAGTCACGGAGAGAGAGTAGCGAGGCGGCTTCCGGTCTAGCCCGTTTTTCAGAATAAAAGCAGCAAGTTTAAAGCGTTTGACGTGGACATAAATGGACTTAAAATGTTTATTTATTTTTCCAATACGTCTAACATTTGTTTGGTGTATAATATGATGATAGTGCAATTCTACGTGGGGAAAAAAGATGGCAGTTGACCCTGTTTCCGGAAGTTATATTGACATTGACCTCCCTTGCAATACATTTCCTATTTAGACACATATAGGTCTCTAATAAATAATCCATTTCTTGGCGTAAAGAGGAAACTATGTTGGGAAGTATCGAGGAAAGCTTTACTAACGGATGGGCCGTGAGGTGGGCAACGGCGCCCTCTCGTGGTTGAAATATATAACGCAGTTTACGTTTAAATTAAGATTTTAATAGAGGATGTGAGCAGAGCACTGGTTATCCTAATTGGAATAATTATGTATTTAATTATAAAGACCTTCTGGTATTTAAATTGCTTAAAAGGTTTTTTATAGGAAGTTTTATAAGTCTTTACTTTATCTTTCCACTCATACTGAGGCATGTGTTACAATAAATAAGTATGGGGTGGGAACCTTGAGAGGTTTTATGGTAGGTTATTATCAGGCTATGGAATAGGTTAATTAATATGGCTGATGGCAAATATATTGTATCATTTTTACTCCCCTACATCTATATGAAAATATGATTTTACATACATATTTAACCTAGAAGAAACCTGACATACTGTACATGACCTCTTATACGAGAGAGACCTGGGCAATATGGCAGCCTGGAGTAGTTAACTCACTTTAATATACAACAAAATTGCATGCAGCAGAAACAGAAAGTACCCCGGAGGCATAAATGCAAAAGTCTGACCATTTAAAACCGTTAAAACGCTTCATGAGACATGTGAATGTGGCTTTTTCATGCCTGTTAAAAAGAACGACACCACACTGTAAATTACTTCTGATTTTATTCAATGGAAAAAAAAAAAAAAAAAAAAAAGAAAAAAAAAAAGACCTTCAGGAAAATACAGTAATTCCCATAGTACACACAGAGAGGACATAAATTAGAGAGGCATGGCAGAGAGAGACGCTTGGGGGGGGGGGGGAGACATGTCACCTGGGTGGTAGAAAACATTTGATCCACGCTGCCACACAGCCAGGGGGCACACTGTGCACACTATGCAGGATGTAGAGGAGTCAGTGAGATCACACTCAACACTTGTGTAATTCATAACGTGAGCAAAAGTTGGTTATTCCTGTACACAAACGTCTAAATGATAGTACAAAAAGGGAATAATACAAAATACAAAACGGGGGAAAAACTGCCCTCAAAATAAACCATAAATATTCATATCGATGCACATTGGTTTAACAAAACAATTGCTTCTGTAAACATTTTCAACATAAGGTGTGCATTACAATTTAAAAACCACTGCAGTCGCATACTTATCTGAAGGATTACATAATAAAAATTGCAGAAACAAGACTAAAAACTAAGTCAGAGATAAAAAATATGCCGCTTAGTCCACGCCGTCTGAAGTGGTTTTGTAACACTGCTGTTAGAACGTGACTTTCTTTGCTCTTCACAGATGATCAGGACAGTGAAAGCATCTCATTCCCTTGTTCTGCAGCTCTCAGCAGGTCCCACCTTGGATAGTGAAGGCACCACTTTTACCGAGAGCAGGGTCAAAGAGTTGAAGTTTAGGCAGGAGGAGGAGGAGGAGGGGGGGGGGGGGGGGGAAAGTCCCGTAATATAGTTTTCTCATTCACACAAACACACGGCTGCAGGATGGACTCTATATTTTAACAGTGGTTATGAGGATGTCTAACATCAAGTGACAAAGGCTTTCCCTCGTCATTCGGGTTAAAAGAGGATGAGAGGAAGAAGAGTTAAGTGAATTCCATTCTGGGATGGAAAAATGATCCAGTTAAAAGTATTTGCCTCTTCAATCCAGACTGGACTGAGAAAACAAACTAATCGCCTGTCTGAAGCCCAAAATGGCAAAAAAAAAAAGAAAAGAGGTCCAATATTGAGTCACGTGGCTGATTCAGACTCAAGTGTTCCTACAGTACATAAAATCTAAACTTCACTGTTAACTTGTCAAAACCTGCAGAGGATTTTGAGCAGTTGTAATCAGCTGGAGACCCTTTTAAGGCAACTGTTTAGCTACACGTTAAGCTAAAGTCTCCAAAATACAGTTGGATGATCGTAGATGTGAAATTGAAACGTGGTGCAGACGGAGGACAGTCAGCTGGAGTGTGATGTTCAAAGCTTCTTCTCAGGATCTATGCACCTTCATTTCCTTTACCGTCACTTCTGCCCACTGGCCTCAATGCTACCTTAATGGCCACCTGCTAACTCTGCATGTCTAATTCACAGTTTATCCTAGCCCTACTTATGACTGACGTTAAAGGGAAAAATCCACCTGGTGGTGCGTCTCACATGTCTGGGTCCATTTGCGGTTTTTGGTTGCTAGTTGTAGCAACAAACAAAGCTGGTTGACCAGAGAAGCAAATCGCAATTTGGAAAGCCGTAAAAAAACAACAACAACTTGATGATAAATAGGGTGAATTCTTCCTTTGAAACTCATGTAGGGGTGTGTCCTAAATGCCTTATTTATGTGCAGCAAGTCACACACAAAATATACAGTGTATGGGGGGAAAAAAAGCTAAATTTTGTCGTTAACACCAAAGCAACATGCTGTCATAAACAGGGCTACTTCTGTCCGACATAACCTACAATATGTGAGGCAATGTGGTCGAGATAGTGTCTGTAAAACCTGGGAGAGTCTGAAGCCTACAAGGTAGATGTAGTTAGTATGTACACGCTGATATCCAGTACCCTGTATTTAATGGATATATCAAGAAGGTCCCTTAAAAAACATCTTCACTTTAAGGAAGAGAAGGCAAAAAAAGTGAAGATACAGAGGCAGATTTACATGTCAAGCGTTTATCTACGTGGCGGTGAACTCGTGTTAAATGGCATGCTTGACGTGGAAATCTACCGTGGTGGGCATCGGGAGTTAATTTCACCTGAACGGGACCCCGGACTAAACTACAGCTACAAACGGCCACACCCGAGGTGTGGCACATAAAGTATTCGCCTTCTTTGATACAGTGACAGCCGCGTTTAGCCTCTAATCGTCCCTTCAGTCATTCACATGCTCAGTGTTTCCTCCATTCACGCACATACACGATGCAAAGTTCTACTATGACACATAAAGATTTACCATCAACAGGCAACAGATCCCGCGTCCCGCAGAGGAGGAGGAGGGGATCGGCTCAAAGGATGGGTGAGGGGAAAAACCCGGAGGCTTGGAGGGGGGTGGGGGGGTTTCTGTTGTCGTAATATAGTTTACTAGTACACTCAGTGGACACTAACAGAACGCACCTCCTCGCCCCCCAAACACACACCCGTCCCTAGATTCTTTTTCATGATTACAGTCCAATCCGTTGTTTGTTTCGCCCGAGCGGCTGAGAGGAAGCCGCTCGAGGCTTCTTCGTCGTCGTCGGTCGTAGTCACAATCGTCATCTGTTGGTCACTGCTTAGGTATGGTCGTCGAGTTGGCCGGTAGGGGGGTGGGGGGTGGGTGGGGGGTGGGGGTGGGGAGGACGTCGCCTACCAGCTCATGAGGGAAGTGCGTCCCAGGGTCATGAAGTACACCTGGCTGGCACCTCCGGCACGCACGGAGGCGAAGAAGACCTGATGGACGAAGGCAAACACGTAAGCCGGAACATTTGACAGTTATAAAACAGAAAACGTAGGAAGGAAGGAAAGAAGGAGTTGTGTTCACACCTTGTCATTCCTCTCACAGAGGAACTTGAGTCTCTGGGCTCTCTTGTGCATGAAGACGCCGTCCAGGTGGCCCGTCTCCACTGACCGGATCTCTATGGCCTTCTCACCCCAGCCCATGATCTGGTTTGACCTAATGTAGGCTGCTCACACACACAGAGGGAGATAACAGAAGGGGACGGCAAGTGATTCATTAGACACTACTTCCCTAGCAAACAGAGCCGTTTAGCAGGATGAGTTGGGCCGTCTCAAGATTGCTTTAATGGCCCCACTTACCCACTGAAGTTGGCATTTCTCCCCACTGCAGCACCACGTCCTTGGTGATGCGCCCGTAGGTGTTGACGTAGACGCCCTCGTCCTCGTAACACACCAGCAGCTCGATGCCGTCAGTGTTGGGCAAGATGATGATGGCGTGGCACTGGATGCTGGTCTGGATCTAAAGGGAGGAATCAATGAGGAAGAGTTAGGAGAGTGAAGAGCATGGGAAGTAAAAAGGTATGATCAGACTGCGCTAAGTGCTCACATGTGTGGGCAGGTAGATGTCGTAGACGGCGCCGGAGTCCACATCCACAGCATGGAAGCCTGAACACGAGCCATAGATCACCTTTAACCTCTGACCCTCCTCCACCGTCAGGTCAACCAGCAGAGGCTTGTGCACCAGATCACCAAAAGACTAAGGCAGACCATGGAGAGATGAGTTAGTCGGGTAATCGTGCATCTTCGTGGGGGTGTAACTACTCTCGCAGAATGACGACGCTTACCTTAAAGGCCATGAATTTGTGGTAGGGTTTGGGAGCCCAGGCGTACACCTCCACAGCGTTCTTCAAGGCCAGCACCAAGAACTTAATCCTCTCATATTTCACTGGGATGAAAAGGGAGTCATTCGTGAGTTATTGCTTAAAGTCGGGCTTATCAACAAATCTTAGTCCGTTTTATTCATTTGAGGTTCAGGACTCTTTGGAGACGTACCGACTTTGTAGTGGACGCAACCCTCCAGCTCGCCCACATTAACCCAACCCTGCTTCTTCTCCACCTCAGGGTCGTTGTGCAAAATCTTGTTTCTCAGCCACGACAGGTAGTACACTCGCAGCTTGTTCTTTTTACCTGCAGCAGGTGGAGGTGGATGAGAGAAAAGAGATGTCACAAACTATACAATGTGGACTGAAGGAATATAGCCATCAATGACATCGATTCGTTTTCAGAGATGAGCCAGCTTGTGGCATTATGTTTCCAAGATACATCTAAAAAGTGTCCAACAAATACAACCACCATTATTCCGAATGAATCAAAAACCACTATCTGTGTTCAGTGGCCCGAAGGCAGCACATGCACTGTACCCGATATGGTGACCAGGACGTTGAGTCCCTCCAGGACGTCCATCTGCTGGATGCGTCTCCTGTTGATCAGAGGGTAGACCTTCCCCTGACCGCTCCGGTCCAGCAGCATCAGACCGCTCTCCGTTCCCACCAGCAGGTTCACTCCTGGAACAATCGGAGAAAAAGAAACAATGAAACACCCATAGCTAGTAGCGCTTCGATGGATACCAGAGTAGAATAATTAGGTTGAACAAGCGGCCGCCATGATTCCCACACTTACCCCAGAGCGCAGCACACAGGATCTCAGAGTTGAACCTCTTCTTGTACTTGCGAATCTCTGGCGTGTCGCTCGGCGGGCGCGTGTTGACCGGGTTGACGTTGACCACCGAGCCTTTACGGGACGGGTCGGATTTCAGCGGGTCTGCAAGCCGTCCGTCCGGCCCAAACGCTGCTGGGGGGGGGGCACATAGAGGTCAGGCTGGATGCCGTCGTGTATTTAAATTATTATTGAACAACCTGGTGCCTGGTTGGACCACACGGTGCCGTGTCTGTTCATGTAACACTGCACTGTGTCGACTCATCAGCGCAGATGTTTCAACATAATTTCCTTATCAGTGCGGAAAGAAATGTTGTGGGAGAAGCCATTGCTCATAAAAAAAAAACTCCCTCAAGGGGAACTGAAACGGAGTACGTTCAACAGTTTTTAATTACTGAGCTGCCATAAACACATTGGCTACCTACCCATGTTGTTGAGGGAGCTGCCGCTGGATGGAGAGATCTGGAGAAGACGAGGGTCGATGAAGGGAGTGAAGGAGGAGGACGACTTGTGTTTGGACATGGAGTTGCTCTCCGACTGGGACTAAATGAGATTTAAAGACATTTAGAAAACGTTCAACTTGTACTTAACCTGCATAGAAAGCAAGAAAACTGTATTTAATCATTAAAGTTATTTTATGATGGATATACAGAAGAGAGATTGGTCCTTGGTCCAAAAAATGATTGATTTGTAATTTATAAAACTGACTGTGACTGTTTAACTTCAACAGCAACAGGCCTTGAGTTACATTTCTACCTCTCAGGGCTCATTAACAGCTTAAATTTCTATCTAAATACATTTTTTGTGACACAACTCGGAATACATAGTTTGTCACTCCAATTCAAATGATGACAAATCAAATGGAGAACAAACAAAAAAGATGACGTGCAGTTATAGTTAGTCGTTTTAAAGCCAACGAGGACAGTTTGAAGGAGGGAAAACAACATGTGTGACGAGAAGAAACGATCCACACACTGCTGTGAAGTGTGAAGAGGAAGGAGCGGCTGCTATTAGAGGAAGACTGTAATCCCACCACCAGAGACGCGTGTTGTTAGCAACGCATGTGTCACACCACGAAAGAGGCGGTAACCTATGATAATAAAATAAGATTTCTTCTCTGTATGTGGGTCATGTGTGCTTGAGGACTTGCAGTCCAATATATATATTATATAGCCCCATTTCACCCCTACCATCACACCAGGCATGCCATCACCCAACACTGATAAGAGATGCTTGTTCACAGTTCACCCCATGACGCTCCAGTTTAGTTTCCTCAATGCCGTGACCATGCTCTACCACCAGGAGGCACCAGTGTTAGCAGCGACGCAGTGCGATGCAGTGAATTGCAGGAGGGAAGGAGGTTGAAGATCGGGAGGTGTCAGCCAAGCCAGAAGGGGGGGGCAGAGGAGAGAGCCAGAGTGAAGGCAGGAGAGACACAGAGGGGTCCGGCAGCGTAGAGGGCCAGAGAGGCTCCGACCAACAAATCAAGGACTGGACGGCGAGGTGCGTACAGGCTTTGAGATGGAGAATCGTTTGCTGCAGAGGTAAATATTACCCAATCCTGCACAAAGTAACTAGAAAAAAAGAGCATTTGCTCATCATTTATTGTACCTAGCATCACATCCAAGGAGGGGATGGTCATTTAAAAACTTACAAGTAGCTTCTCTGTCATTTTGGATACAAACAAATGCAACTGCTCTTTGAGTGAATCTGCTTTGCTGCATGTCGAAGCCGGTACCACCCCGCAACAGTCCACTCCTCAGTTGTTTGTCTCGCCGACGTGAGGGTGACATACCTCTATGGCAGTGAGCTCGTCCAGGGGGATCTGTGGGGACATGGCAGGACTGGCATAGCTAGATGACGAGGGGAAGGAGGAAGAGGAGGAGGAGGAAGGGATGGTTGTGGAAGAGGACGGGGAGTGATGGCTCTGCTGGATAAGGTCTGGTAGGTGGTGTATGCGGCCGGCAAAGCCGTTTTTCTCGGCGAGGCCGTGGCTTTGGGGCTGGCCGTGGACGTGACAGAGGTCAGCCGAGGAAGAGGAGGAGAGATTGACCAACTGCTTTATGTCAACGGTGCTCTGGAAGCAAGAACAGGCACACTTGGGCTCGAGCAAGGCAGGTGGAGAGACGCATGTTTGGCTGCTAGTCTGCCGCTTCGCATCATGATTTACTATTCGTCTGGTTGGTCTTTGGAGACCATCGCTGCTGTGCGTGTCGCGTTAAATGCAATCTACAACAATCTGAGGTATTAGATCTGTAAATGTGAAATGAGAAGCAGCAAGTCTGTAATGACTAAAACATAAAGAAGGCATGGTAATACACAGTAACACAGAAGAAATGGTGGAGAATGTGTGGATAAACACTGACACTGGACAAAGAAAGATGAAAATGACATTTCTAACAACTGCACACAAGCGGAATGTGCCTTTAACTGTTAAGCTAAGAAGTAGATATTCTCATTTTCCCCTTCTTACCTGTCTGATGACCAGCGTGCCATCCTTGGAGGGCGTGCTGGCCTGGTCGCTCTCAGAGTCTTCCAGCAGCATGGTCTTAGCCGACTCCGTCTCCCCGTTACTCATCCTCCTGCGGAAGCCATGGGAATATCTGACGTCCGTAACCAGACCAGTGTTAACACTCATGCAGAAAAGCCATGCAGCACTTGAGAAGTGACTGAAAAGATGAATGCAACAGACAGTAAGGACAGTGGGCCAACACGTCATCGCAGCTCTACCCACCCAGCCCTGGAGTCCTCAGGTCCCGAGGTGGACTCCTCTCCCGCCTCCTGGTCCACCTCCTCGTCGTCTTCCTCGTCGGTGGTGCCCGAGTCCTCGCTGGAGGAGGAATAGTCGGTGACCTTGTGGGGAGGCCTCACGTCGTCTACCGCACGAAGCTCCTTGGCTAGAGCTGTCAGATCCTAAGAGGGACAGTAAGGAAGTCATAAGTCCGATATCTTGGCGAAACTCAGGTTGTCTAGAATTACGCCAGATCTTTGGCTATGTGTCTTTAGGTGTTCGTCGTCTATTTATGGCCCAGGTGTTTGTTTGGCATGTTTCAAAACCATGTAACCATCCCAGTTAGTCCAAGTTCTAGGATGTGGTGAGTCAAGTGGCATACTGTTTGGTAAATCAGATCATAGTTTAGCCGTTTTCTCGTTGCACCCTCTAAAGTGCATGTCTTGCCCTCAGCTTGTTCCTTGCAGACTCTCAATTATGCCGTCTTGTAAGGTCAGTGATAAGCAAGAAGAGGGAGGAGGGACACTTTCAGGCATGCTCAACAAATCAAATGTGCCACATTTTATCCCGACAACAAAGCAAGGTGAGCGATTAGGAGCAAACCACCGGGAGTTACAAGGGAACAGGAGGAATGTGGTCGCATTCAAATCCAGGCTGGGGGGAAGCTGCAGCAGAGGGTTAACCCTTCTTGTGTCGACTACAAGCGTTAAAAGTGAGGAAGGTCTGTGCAGGCACGGGGAAAGACGCCGGCAGAAGGCAAACAAGTCACCGGCACAAAGCACAGTATCCAGTGAAGTAAGACTTAATGCGTTAATCCTCACAAAGGGGGAGACAGCTCTTTTATCACAGACCGTTATCGTAGACATAATGCAATGAAGGGGGCAATGGTGCAAGCATAGCATAGGTGTGATTATGTAATCTTGTTTAATAGGCTTACCGCATCACCCTAAGAGGTTCCCCAACAATCACGAACCATCAGATTCATGAGCAGTTGAATAATTAAAGTAGAGAAGAACACAAAACAGTTTTCACCTACTCGACATCAAACAAGTTCAACAGCACTTTAGCAACAGTGGACTCACAGCTGGTCGAGTTGGCCTGGCGAGGTTCTTTTCATCTTGTTTTTTGGGAACATTTTCAGGCCGCTGGAGAGGCGATCCTTCAGATTTGGAGGAAGCTTTGAGGGAACAAAATGAGGCTGAGTTAGTGGGGAGAAACAGAGAGTTGGCTCTCAAACGATCTTTAATTGCCTGTATATATAAAATAAAGAAGCAGAAAACGTACTGGAGCGATATAGTAAGGAGCGAGAATGGTGTTATTAGTAGAGTTAGTGAAATGTGGCTGAGTACAGTACCAGGGGACTCACAGCGTGGTCGGAAGCGGTCACCAGGACTGGCCTGGGAGCTGGAGTTGGAGGAGCCGGAGGAGCTGCCACTGCCTGGCCGAGGCTGCAGCTTCTCCACTCGGTCCCACAGCGGCCGCTGCTCCACGTTACTGTCACAGAGAACGCCGCCGCATGAACAAGCACAAGCTCCTATAGTACTCTTAAAACGGTTTAAATGTGTGCAACTGCCTCTCAAGTTCACAAACCGATCCCGAGGTCTCTTCACTTACCCTCCAGCGCTCCTCGGTCCACCCTGGATGCCGGGCTGTGATGGCAGAGGGGACTCTCGACGCGACAGTACCGGAGACCTGGATGTCGTCCTTACCGGGACCTGGAGGAAACAGATTCAAAAGGTCCTGATATAGGGGCAGGTTTGCATTTAACACAACTAGAACTGCTTGTATTTCACAACGGTGTTCAATGTTGATGTTCAAGAAATGGGGCTGAACACATCAAGGCAAACACAAACAGGCAGCATGATGAGTGAAGTGATTGGCATGAAGAGGAAGTGAATGAGGGAGTCAAGGGAAGGAAAGGGATAGGTAGGGGGGGGAGGGGAGGAAGGGGGGCCCTCATCAGCTCCTTACCTTGGGAGGTACCTCTTCGCCGCCGGCCTGGTGTTCGGCCCTAGTAGGGGCCTGAGGGTGGTGGAGGGGAGGTTGGGGGTCAGTGCGTGCGGGCGATGGGTGGTGGAGGTGGAGATGGTGGGGGTCCTGGGAACGCAGGTGGAGTTGTGCAAAGTTAGAGGTCACCCCGCTGGGCTCACTGAAGGACTGGGAGCGAGAGACCACAGGCGGAGGAGGAGGAAGAGGAGGAGGAGGAGAAGGAGAAGGAGGAGAGGGAGCGGCGCTGTTGCTGCTTTTTAGAGCAGCCAGGTGGGACCACTGGACCTTTTAGGGGGTGAGGGAGGAGGAAGGACAAGAGGAGGAGGAGGAGGTGAAACAAGCAGACAACACAGTGAGACATGAGGGAAGATGCGTGTGGTTTTGAACATACATGTGCTAAGATATATAGCCTACACATGCAGACAACGCACAACACGACATGAAGATGTGATTCACTGGCTGAGCTTTGGGTTGATGCGACGGCTTCAATGAACAGTTCAACATTTTGTGAAATGTGTTACGTCATGTCGGTAAATATGAAGCTAAAACCACAACTTGTCGTTGTTCAATCCACCCGTTTTCGGACTTTATGCTAAGCTTACCTGCTGCTGGAGGTTGCTTAATATTTAGCGTATCCGTATGTAGTGAATAAGCAGATTTCCTATAAACTATTCCTTTCACGTGACTATTGGATATAAGTGCAAATTCTTTCTGTTTCATTGCGGATTACGTTCAATGCCCCGAACTGTTTCTGTACTGAAGGAAGACAAACAAACTTCACCGCCCTTCTGCCCAGAAACTGACCCCGCTGTTGCTTCGCTGACTCACAAAACTGCGAGCACACAAACTCAGCAGTGAGGGGAGGAAGAGAGCATTAGGAAGGAGAGAGGAGTAGGCGAAGGGCGGGGGAGTTACCTGAGGCTCCATGGGCCGGTGCATGGCGGAGGCCTCGGAGGAGGAGCCGCCATTGGAGAACGGTTCAGAGGAGCGGGGAGGCAGAGGGGGCTGCTTGGGAGGAGGGGCAATCTGAGGGGAGCCCTGAATGTTCTTACGGTACCGCTCGTCGGCCTGGGATGAGGGAATCGTACAGGACAGAGATAGAATGAGGGTCAGGGGAAATATTTCAATGGTTGACAAAACGTAATGAAAATCAAGTAGAAGGAAACCGCTTGTTGAGAAAAATGGTTCCTCTCTGCTTGTTGTTTCTAATATTACTGTCTCTTAAGAGTCTTTTGTCATACACAGAAACCTTCATACTTGACAGACAAACTGGTGACATCAAACATGCTTGAAGCCCATACGAGGCAGCCGTACAGACACGGGTATGTGTGCACAGACAGAGGTGGAGACAGGACTCTTTGGAACAAATACATCCTTATAATTACATTTGCAGGATTAAAAAAACCCTTGTTAATGACGGAACAGCTCTGTTGATGACGGGAGACACAGCGTGGGTGTCCGGCATGTTAGTCTGGGCCTCAGCCATCCACATGCAACGGCCCCGATCCACACAGAGAGTCAAAACAGCATTGTTGAAGAATTTCGCAGCTGGCCACCCAAGATCAAGAGAAATTCCTAAAACCTGTTGTTCTGTATTGTTCTGGGGGAAAAACCCTCCAAGAGAAAAGGATGAAAGGAGTACTTGGACTCAAATGACGGGAGAAAAAAGATGTAAGCATGAAATCAATCATCTTTGTCTCTTTGGGGAAACGAAAAAAACGAATTATTTGAAAATGGAGCCTAAAAGACTTGAATGGAAGTGAAAGTGGAATCTTGCATAGTTTTCCTACCAATTGATTATTTCTCTTTCTCTTGCTGCGCCTGCTTCAAGTGAAGACAAAAATGTGTCAGACATCCTGACGGTTTTAGTAGTCAAGAAAGACGAGCAAGAGAGCGAGTGCCAAGAGAGAGCGAGTGGAGGAGAACAGCTCTGTTTTATTCAGGACATAAAAAGGCTGCTTGCTGCCAGCCTTTGGGTTTCTATTCTCCATCGTTACCCCCGCCACTGCATCCAAAACACTAAGTGTCAATTAAATGTAACTACTTGGGCTAAAGAAAACCATTTGTTGCTGCTCGCTATTATTATGGTCGCTGAGGCTGTGTGAGGATAAGCAAGAAGAAGCTGGGAAGAGCAGGCAGCGGGGTAGGCAGAGCCAATGAGGACGTTCACCTCTCTGATAGGCTGAGGAGGAGGACTGACGGGCTCTGCGGGCCTATCGGGCTCCAAACGTTCTGCCCGGGGAGGTTCAGAGTCAGTGGGGGTTTCAGTCAGAGGGGGGTTGGGGGAGTTTGAGAGCTGGCTGGGACAGGTTTCATCAGAGTCAGTCTTCTCTGGCGCTGCTGCCTGGGACTTAGGGCCGTCTGAGGGGACTGTCTGAAGGTCTCTGGAGGAAACGGCACTTTCAAGGACCTGAGCCTGAGGGGTTGCGGCGAGGACTCTGCCAGGGGGCAGGGTGGAGGTCTGTGGAGGTGTGCAATGGTCTGAGGGGAGTTTGGTCTGGTCGCCAGGCGGCTGTTTGGGTTCGTGCTGGAGCGACAGCAGGTAGGCCTGCTCCTGCTGCAGCCGCTTATGGAGTCGCTCGGCCTTGCGCTGCTCCTCGAGCTCCCGCCACTTGAACTCCTATTGCAGAGTGTGGGGTTGATTTAAGGCGGTGAGAAGAGACGGGAGAGCCGGCAGCCTGCGTCGGCCTCACAAACTGACTAAAAACAAGTGCCGGCCTTTATACGGTCAGTACTCTGGCAGCATCTGTTCCTGCATTTACCCGTTTAATCCGTATTACAGGGAGAGTACACGGTGCGGACCGAATGAAATAGAATCTAATGTAATACAAAAAATGCAGAAGTTTGGAGTTCCAATCATTCGGCAAATTATTGATTTGGTTCACTTTACAAAATGAATGCAAAATGTGAAAAAGAAAGAAAGAAAGAGGAAGCATTAACAACATGATACAACAATGATCTAAAGATGAATCTAAATGCTAACAACACACCTGAAATCAGTCTTCAGGGGTGAATTGCAGTAGTTGGCTGAACTGAACTTGTTACTGTAAAAATACGAGCAGCGTGTGGTGCGCGCGTGTGTGTGACTGACCAGCAGCATGGCCTGTTCACGGAGCAGCTGCTCCTGCAGCATCTCCAGGTGTCTCTGCTCCTCCTCCAGCTGACGTCTGATGTAGTCCTGTCAGTCAAAGCAAAGGAGAGCAGCCAGTGTGGTTAGCGGTCGTCGAAAGAGCGGAAATACAATGTCCACCTTTACGTCCAGCAAGTGGTCTCTTATCAGACTTTCTCACAGCAAATATCGAAGCCGGCAGTCAACATCTAATTTGGCTTATTCTTACTGGCAATGTGGCAGCTGCATTGAAGACATTCTAGGTAAAGACGTTTTGAAAGCCGACCTGTTCACGATCGTTCCTCCTCTTCTCGTCATCAGCCCGCCGGCGTTCGTCCTCTTCTTTACGCCTACGATCCATCTCTTCGACACGCCTCTTGTCCTCTTGCTCGCGGCGACGCTGCTCGCGCTCCTGCTGCCTCCTCATCTCCCGTTCACGCCGCTGTTGCTGTGGGCGGCAGAAGACAAAGAAATGTCAAAATTTCTCACACAAAAAAACGCGATTTCCAGCCGTTATATCAGCCTCATCTCTTCAGAGCTCGATTCATCCTACCTCCTCCAGCCGCCTCCTCTGCTCCTTCTGTTGCTCAATGCGTTTCTGCCTCTCGGCCAGTAGTTGGCGTTTGTACTCCTCCTGCTCCCGGAGCTGCTGCTCCTGGAGGAGCTGCTGGCGGCGGAGTGCCTCCGATCGCTCCTTGTTCTCCTGCTGCAGGCGGATGAAGTCGCGGCGCAGCGTGGACTCACCTGGCACATTGACAATGGAGCTGGACGACGGGAGGAATCCGGACATAGCGGGTTAGTTTAGAGAGACGCTGGGTTTGGATTGTTACCTTGCAATAAGTAGGTACACTAGTTTTTAAGCATACCTGGGCTCTCCCTCCTGCTCTGGAGGATCCTCTTCCTCCTCCTCACTGCCACTGTACTCGTACTCCGTCTCATCTGTACACGATAAAATGAACAAGTAAGAATCACATCCAGAAGCTTTTAGAAATGCATGATCTGTTACCCGATTATATTGTCACATTTCTGTGAATAGGCTGTATGCAAGTGAAGACAAAAGAGAGACAGACGCACCTTTCTCTCCCCTCTTCTTCTTGGTACGGTCGATGTGGTCTTTGAGCTGGATGCGGACTTGCCTCTCGTTGGGCTGGTCTCGGATGAAGGGGTGCTTCAGCAGCTGGTCTGTCGGGGGGCGCTGTGTGTAATTCTTCACCAGACAGCCCTCGATGAAGCTGAAAAACTTTTTGGACCTGTGGGGGATTGTGGAGAAAAAGCAGGGGAGCAGAGTCAGCGGGGAGGAACGGTGCACGACAGAGAGGGCGACACATGGAAAAGAGACAGCGGGTGCCAGAGAAATACTTCAGCCATTAGAGCGTAGAGCACATCCAAGGATCCTGAGTAAAACGGACTGTTCTGCAAACAAGCTCCGCTTACAAATTACCCATCAGTCCTTGCAACACTCCCACACGCCTGTGGTTTTCTCAGTATGAATTGAGGTTTATACATGCGGACAGGCAGCATCAAACCTTTCATCACACATATACCATGAAAGCTGTGATGTACGGGGCGCAGTACAATTACATTATCATCACCATCGCACCTGTTGCTCAATTCAAGAGTAGGACATCTATATATAAAAGAATCCTGTGTCACGATTTATTAGAGTTAAAATAGGAATGGACGGGATAGAAATGCACAAAGAACATCCTCTCTGGGTGGTACTCACCATTTTTTAGACTTGAGCCTGGGTGGAGGGTTTCTTGGAATGAGGAAGAGCGCACGCATTGGGTGCATGTCACAAAGTGCTGGAGGAAGACGCACACACACACACACAGAGCATCAATATGAATTCAAGAGACTGAACCAGCGCAGAATCACTAATATCAACAAAAACTGGCACTCACGTGGTGCTCCTTCAGCCATTTCTATCGCTGTGATTCCACAAGACCACAGATCACTCTGCGGGACAAGACGGCGGCCGTTAATCGCACACAGACAAATCAAGGCGCAACACACCTTTTATACAATTACACGTCAACTTTTGAGCGGTGGCCCTTACTCTGTAATCATATGTAGCGTCCGGGTTCTCGTCACAAGCGATGACCTCGGGGGCCATCCAATAAGGGGTCCCGATGAAGGTGTTTCTCCTCCCCACGGTCCGATCGAGCTGAGCACTCACGCCAAAGTCGACTAGAGAGAGAGAGAAGAGCGACCACAGTCAACGAGGCGCTGTGCACCTCGGACACTGATCCGAGGAAAATGGGAAAAACCTGTGCTGCCACTCACCTAGTTTGACTTCGGCGTTCTCCGTCAACAGGACGTTCTGGCCCTTGATGTCACGGTGGATGACGTGGTGGGCATGTAGGTGGGCCAGACCCTGAGGAGGAGGAGTAACACAGGACATGAGTGACTGTGAGAGAGGCGAGGAGACGAGGAGAGAGGAGAGGAACTCACCCTAAGGATCTCTCTGGAGATGTAGCCGATCCAGTCCTCCTTCAGCTGGTTCCCCTTGGTGTTCTTCACCAGGTCTGTGATGGAACCAGCTCCACAGAACTCCATCACCAACTAGAAACAGGCACAAATCACCAGAGGATGAGCTTGTGGTATTTGCGGAACAATCATAAGTTTATTACATGACCCTTGGGGATCGTAGAGCTTCGGATAACTAAATAAATCATGGCAGCTACATATTTCTCATACTTCTTAGTCAACCGTAATATCTTGAATGGATTTGAGGACTTACCCATAGCTGGTCATCGTGTCCCGGGGGGCTCTTCTTAATGAAAGCACCGTAGTAGGTGGCTATGTTTCTGTGGTGGGAATACTTCTTCAGCATATTGATCTCCAGTTTAATTTCCTCCTCTTCATCCTAGACACACACACACACACACACACACACACACGTTACAGAGGTATAAACAGACACGAGGGTGTTTTGTCCTTCCACTGGAAACTCTTTAATGAAACAATAATTACTGTGGCCTTAAATCATCATTTCAGATGAATTCACTTCCATACTTAGGGTTGGCAAGTGTCACGCTGTGTGACGACGCCCTGGTTTTACTTCAGCCTGGCCTCGTTCACCTTTCGGCTGGGACTCGGCTACGCAACAATGCAGAAGCGGTCGTCCGTCTACTGCCAAATGATTCCTTTGTTTAGGGATTAATGATGCATGAGTGAGTCTAATAGCGAGCTGATGAGCACAGTAGCCATTATTGGTAATCCCATGTAAAAGAAAACAAACTAAATGTACATTAGATCGTTGGCAAATCCCGGACAGTTAATCCATTAGCATCAGGCAGACATTCTCCTGAATAAAGTTGCTGAGAGCTGTGAAGAAAGCTCAGGAAAACACTGTAAATATCATGCATAATTTGTGTCGGATCGCTTAATGTTCGAGCATTAAATCAGCAGGAAATGGGTGCTGCTGACACAAAGACCATGTACCTACAGAACAGCAAAGGGAAAAGCTAATTCCTCTGCCACTTTAATGCAGCGTTTACAGCCTCTGTTGGAAGTGGCCTTTAGTGGAAGACACACGCCAACCTGTCCAGTATCACATCTCGATACAAAAAAGGTGAACTAGCTGCAGTGCTAACTCCCTGCTTGCACCCAGTAGCAACTTGACAATGATTAACAGCGACACACTAATTGAACACATGCAGGGGTCGGCCCGTGAGTGCTTTGCTTTAAGGTTACATGGCCTCTCCTATAGAAAGTACAGTGGGAGGAGGGGGGGGAGAAACCACAGCCTTATCACTGCAGACTGTGCCTCTTTGTACTAATAGTGATTTTATTAAATCACCACCAGGCTGCACAGCTGCCACAGAGAAATGTGATGCTATGTGTGCGTATTTCTACACTGTGTCGCGTGCATGCATCACCTACAGCAAAATGGCAGTTGGCTGTCTTGTGCAGGCGGCCATACTGCTGCGGCATGACTCGTTGGAGTTGACGTAAGCCTTTCTGTTGTGCGCAACCCCCCCCCCCCCCCCCCCCCCCCCCCCCCCCCCCCCCCGTCTAACCCCCCCCCCTCTCTGCCGTGCAGCTGTTGGATTATCACTCTGCCGACTGCGAAGGCCTCGCTCCCACAAGTCACAGGGTCACAGACGAAGACAACGTGATGTTGCAACACACGAACAAAGCCCCGATCGGCCCAAATCGTCCAGACAACTCTATACCAGGTTGATTTGAAATGCTTTTAGATCATATGAAGCCAAGGTAGATAGGCGTCCATTTTTAGCTTCGGGGCTATAAGGCAGCACAGAAAGAGCAGTTGAGGAGTGTTTGGATTTGGGAATGTGGGTCAGAGTGACACGGGACAGGCCAGCGTGCCTGTGGATGAACGGAGGAGAGAGTGCAACACGGCCTCACTAAACCACAGGGAAGATGATCAGGTACACGTTATAAGACGAGGATTAAGATAAACAAAACCTGGTACTTCCTTGTAAGGAGTGCCCATGAGGTTTAGGGCTGCGACCAGCAATTGTTTCACAATCACACCGACTTAACAATCCCAGAGGACTACCTTTAAGTAAGCTTTATCAGGCTAATGCTGGAGACACCATGAATCATTCAACTGTGTGCAGGTTATGAGAATATGGCTTAAGATTAAGCCGTCGAGGACGCGGGTACGCCTCAGCGTGCACCTGCATCATGACAAAACAACGCTGCCTATAAGTCAATACACGTCTAGGAGGCACACCTTCAGCAGCGACCTGTCACACAGAACAGGAAACGGTTGAGCAATAGTCTCTGCACCGGTTACACACGATAACTGGCAAGTGTGTCACTCGTGACTCATCGTGACGTCGGCTTATGTGAGGAGCGGCAGCAGGCAAGTCGGGGCACACGGGCTGCCGCGTCAGTAGCCTCTATCGGGGGTTTATGTGGATCACAGTGCCAGTGCATGTGGCATTCAATAGCGTTAAATGTGTCCTTATAAGGGTAGTGATGCGTGGGTGAAATCTAGCGGATGACTTTAGATGTTGCTCCCAACGGGGGGAGGGCGATGGACGCCGCAAGTGACACTCATTCAGCAGAATTCCCCTGCAAAGCCTGTTATCTGTGCAGTGTGTGTGTGTGTGTGTGTGTGTGTGTGTACGGTATCATTACATTTCCTCCATCATTATTATGTCCGTGTGGGTGGTTGGCCCTGCTGGCCTCCACTGCTACTCTGAAACCGTCTGCTTTGTGTCTCTGCATATGTGGTTGTGTGCGTTCTCTCATCTGCAGACGGGACCTCCCACAGCTGAGGGCAGCCTGCTGGCCGCCAAATGACGCACTTCACTCAATAAGCAGCCTGTTGCCTCTACCCCGCCCCTGCTGTTCATTATGGGGGGGAGATAGAGGACTCATTACAGAGCTCAAAAACATGCAGGCGTCAGATTCGATGGAATGTCTACCGATTTAATATTAACCAGAGGATAACATCCAACTTCTTAGCTGGTTTTTCCAGCCAGCACGTCATTACTATAACTATAAATGTCGAGGATGAAACAGTATGACGCTTAGCCTTACCTCCGTGACGTCCATGACTTTGATGGCAGCCAGCTGTCCAGTCTTGACGTGTCGTCCCTGTGAAGAGACAAAAAACGAGGTGAGCGTCCACTCATTGTACTCTTATTATCAAGTGGGCGATGATCAGTGACCTACAGAAGTGTGTGACTGACAGAATATGAACTCAAAACACAATGCGAATTGACACATTTGAAGCGACGTGGAACAAATGACTTAAATATTGCCGCCAGTGTCAAATCCTAATAATTGATTAATCCTTTTTTCCAGTAACAATGCCAGACATTTAGTGGTTTCAGCTTCTAAAATATGATCCGTTTCATGTCCCTGTAATTTGAATATCTTTGGGTTTTGAGCTGCAATCAATCAGCTGAAAACAACTCGTTCCCATCAGAGATTACAAATCTCAAGACTGATACATCCCACGGTATAAATAAACCTACTATATACAGTGCAAACCGCAGATGAGCATTTTATTCCCAAGCTATATAGTCCCAACATTCCCAGACTCCTCTGCTCTCCTAACGACTGCCACTCCTTACATAAACAAAGGACCGAAATAGAGGCCTCTGTACGACCCCTCCCTCCCGCCCCCCCCAACCCAGAGAGGAGATAAAACACAGGACATTTTTGGGAGCGGGCCCAGTCGGGTATTCCCCTTCTGGCTCTTTAGGACAGTGCTGCCGAGCCTCTGCTGTGTCACTGCAGTATGGGAGGGAGGCATACATCCGCGGACCTCATGCACGGTTGCAGGTTAAGTAAATGCACGTTCAGACACCCCCGCCAACAACACCATCGTCATCTTAGCCAGTGCATTCCATAGTCAATTGAAACTGTATGGATTATGACAATAAAAGCCATGCAGGTTTAGGGGCCCTCTCTTTTCAGTGGGCAGGATGGGGGGGTGAGAGGGACACTTTACAATGCCTTTAATCCTCTTCACTTTGATCACAGGGGTCACCACCACAAAAAAAAAAAAAAAAAAAAAAACACAGAATGGCCGACAGCTCCCCGTTTTCTAGCTGCTAGCGCTGATGAGTCCTGCTGTACTGGGCCCACTGGGCACAGGTGTTAAAAGCACTTGTATTGTTCTGTACGATGTAACGTTCGAAGGAAGAAATATCCCGTTCTTCCTCTTACAGGTGTACAGTGAGAGTCCACAGGCAATAAAACACACCCTTGTTAATTTATACACACTCACCGAACGTTTATGACAAAAGAATCAGTGTTGAATTCGGAGGAAGGAATGCAACTGTATTAATCCCCGTTTTGTTTGCACCTACAAACCCGTAAACAGAGTCAACAGTGACTCTCTTCTGACAGGAATCATTGTGGTTTAAAGCCCTCTAACCGGGCGTCAACACGGCACCCGCAGAGGTTAAATGGTTTCAATATCAGACGACTGCTTTCTCTTTCTCCGTCTTCGGGAATTAAAGAATCAAGACGTTAATTGTGTCCCAGCAACCCTCCTCTATTAGCGCGACGGCTCACTCTGAATCTAATAGTTTTCTGAGACAAAGCTCACTTTGATCCAAGGATACAGTCACAGAGAGCCCATCCAGATCGTCGTGGGATACAGCCAACTCGACAACAATGCCTCTTTTTCGCTGTTAACAAACTAAAGCTGCTAATTCTCACAGTCGTACAGCTGACAGAGCCGAGATAAATGTGCGTACAACTCTGACAGCCTCAGAGAAATGTCTGTTTACGCTGGCGTTATTGATGATTAAAGACGTGGTTTGGAAGTGACAACGGGAGCTTTAGGATCTGAATGTGCTGCGATTCCTTCCCTGTGAGCCTGAAGAATTTCTAGTCATATAAACCCAAACATCTCTCAGCTTGTGGGTGGAGATAGTGTTATGTAGGCCACGAGGTAATTGCATTTTGATACCACAAAACAACTGGGTTGGTTGCACAACATTAGCATGCGAGCACTGAGATGAGTTTCTTGACATGCTTAATCTCCTTATTTCATCATCCATCCTTTGTCCTTGGGACAAGGAAACGGAGCAAGTACTTTGGGGATGACACTTCACTGCATCACTACAAATTTAAAGGTTTTTGGAGAATGGATGCTGCCAAATCTGCTCAATAGATCTTAAAAATGTGCCATTACCTCGGTTATTCTAAGAGGAGCTGGCAAGCAAAATGATGGAGGGCACTAAAAGTCAAGAGATTCAGCATACTTCTCATCCGTACGCCTGTAAATTAAGCATTTTTAAAGCTACAGCTACGACGATTATTTTGTGATGTTTAGCATTTTAGCATGAAACGTCACAGAAATGATACAGCTTTGGCTCTAAATGTAGTTTTGTATGCTTGACAAAGTCTTTTCATGTTGATTATTATGCATCCTTTTGTTGCCAATTGTGCCCAAACACTGCATTTTTCAGGCCGAAACCAAATACCAATATTAGAGTTTAACAAATCCAATAGCGTGTCCAATATCAAAAAATATTTTTTGTTCGTTATTAGCCGACATAACAGTCATATCTGCGATGCTAGCATCGTGAATAGTGGATTTTTTGAGGCTGATTCCACGAATATATCATTCAATATTAGTCTGAAAATGTCAAAACTGTGTGAGAAATGTAAATGTATGTATAAAGAATACAATATGAACAATCATATTCTATTTACAATTATATTAAAAGAATCGGATTTTCCTTGATAAGCAACTCAAACAATCAATTATAAAACTGTTGACGTTTACATTTTCTGCCGATGGACTAATTGGTAATGGACCGATGGTTTCAGCTCTGGCCCTGTGGTCGGGTTGATCACAGGAGGGCCGCGGCCCCGGAGGGCCCCTTGAAGCGGCCCGCTAGGCGTGGCTGTGGAGGGGTTATCTGAGGCACCGGCTATCACTCAGCTCTGCCTGGCCTCCATCGCAGCTCCTCTTAACCACGGCCAGATGTGCTGCTGGCCTCTCTCCGGCTCAGCACTAAACCACGGACTTGACTTACTGCCTTTAGAGCCAGAGACATTAAGTCAGAATCTACCCCAAAACAAGACGCACCGTTCTGTTCACGCCACTGTGGAGACGGACGTCTCACCCAGCGAGGCTGTAACCGGCCGGTCTGCTGACATCAGGGGTTTGAAATGAGACATTTCATCAGGTGCTTGACCACGTCGGCTCACGATCAGCGTTAGGAAACCAGACATTTGTGTTTTAGGGTGGATTTTCACTTAACAGAAGTGAGCAGTAATGCTCAGCAGTACTGTTAGCGGTCGGACCGCTGAGTCGGGAGTGCAGCTTCCCATACACATCACACAAGGCTCGTACCCTCACCCGATATCCAGCCGCTCCCTCCCTACTCCGTGAATGTAAGATCAATCACACTTAGTAGCCATTGCAAAATGACGCCTGGCTTTCTAACAAGGTCACCACCACCAACACCACCACCACCACCACCACCACCACCGCGCACAACAGAGTGCTGAAATTGATGCTTTCGAACTAGTAAGTGCAAAGCAAACTCGTATTATTAGTTCACACAGCAAGGGGGGGGGCCGTGGTTTGGTTCTTTAAAAGGTCACTGGTGGAACGGTGGTAATGAGGGCGATGTGAACATCTAAGGCGACATTTGAACCGGCAGAGCGAGTAGGTGGGTCGACAGAGGGGGCGATAAACCAGACAGGTTGCGAACACACGCATAGATGCACACTTCAGCCTTTCGTCTTCCTCGACACACATCAGATGAATGCAGAGGGAAGAAATGATCGATCAGCAGTAAGAAGCAGCACAATGACATCCGGGGGCTGTGGTTCTTCCACTTTACACTGCTGCTGCATACCAGCACACTGACCCAATTCTCACTCTCTCACTCTCTCACTCTCACACACACACACACACACGGCCTTGCTGCCTCCACTCCGGCACTCTCAATTGATGGCAAAGACAGAGACGAAGATTTAAAAGACAGGAAGTGAGGAGGAGAGCAGCCGAAGAAGAGTCTCAGCTGATGGGACTGTACGTCTATTGATCGCAGTGCAGTAGCTGGCTGCTGTAAGGGATCAAAGCTGCTTAGCGGAGACTTTGCACAGGTCTTAACAGGAATTAAAATATTACAATTGAAGGGTGTAAAAGTGGGAAATCTCACCAGAGACGAACTGCCAGACATTATAGCTGTAATTCATAGGTGTGTCTGCTTCACTTGCTAGTTTGCAGGTTTTTTAAAAAGCAGGGAAAGATGCTCGTGGGAGTCTAGATGTGAGAACACACAGTATGATCTCATTAAAATAACATCAAAACGAGAGGATGAGCTGTTGTGTCGGAAATAGGTTTTGGCTGCATGTGGTAGCAATGAGAGGGAAGTTGAGTGGGTCTTGAAAAGAATCTGAATTTACTCTGGAGAGATAAAACCCCCATCCCTGATTTGGACCGAGAGATGAGAAGATCTACTCGTCCCGCCGCATTAAAACGAGAAATGTCTTCAGGAAATGTGGCCTCGGAGGCAGAAACACAGGCAAGAGACTGTCTCGTCAGCCGGCGCCTTTGTGTCTCATCTCAACACCACTCTGGTAATGAGGTTCCTCAATGAGCTTCACACACACACACGGACACAGAGAGGTTTGTTCAGGCAGCGTGGCCAGTCAGAGGACGTTGTGGGTCTTGTGACACCCATCAGGGAGAGGGTCACTGTTGGTGAGATGGGGGGGGGCGGGGAAGCCAAAAGAGATGCACACTGTCCGTCAGAGAGAAACATTCAGAGCAACTGCCTCGCCCAGCACCATACGGCACCGGTGGGCATTTGACAGCTTGTGCGAGCTGCCTTCTCCCGCCCACGTGTGCCCATCAGGCACAGCTAGCCCCCCTGAGGAGAGGACTTCTTGTCCTGGGGGGGGGCGGCGTAAGGTTGGAGGAGAAAACAAAGGAAGGAGATGAGAGGACAGAGCAGGAATAAAGTATAAGCTCCTGAGTTGGAGGGATTTTGTCGTTAGCATATATCACATCACCGAGTAAGCCTATGAGAAAAGCCAGTTATGTGCAGTGCCTGTGCACATAACAAATATATAATATTATTTTAATTTGGTGCATCCGTGGCACACCCGATGGATGCACAGCAGGCGGGGAGGCAGGTCAGCCTGACTATATATGGCCACTCTGTAGAGCGGAGGGAATCTTCCCCACATACCACGCACAATTTGAGGAATTATGTCTTTTCCGATGCTCTCTCTCTCTCTCTCATTCCTATATTCAGAGTGAAGCACCTGAGATAGTCTCCAGAGCCAGCTGGTTCAGTGCCAACTGATAAAGAGAGAGTCTCTTGTGCGAGAGCTGTGCTTTTCAAAGAGCGTGGGTATAAACGCATTATTATAAAATACCTTCAGACCGAGTGCGTGTGGCACACATGACGTCATCTTCCACTGAATAGTTAAACATGGAGGTATCCACAGAGAGACACAAAATAATGTCCGTCAGTCAAATTGTGCTGTGTTGACTGTAATCTGGCCCCCCTCCAGGGGCCACGGCTGCGGGGCAACCAATCGGACCAGACATTCAAAGTATCATTACACAACCTCTGTGCTTTTAAATCATTTTCAAAACAGACGGCAATGCACCAAAAACTACTCAAGAGCACAAGTCAGCGAAAGAGCTTGCGAAACAAAAAGGTCTCGCAGCGAGAAATAAACGCAAGAGCAGCAGTTACACACTTGACTTTTGTTGTGAAAATGTTATTCGACCAGATGAGGAATTCTACTCCCGTAGTCCACCTTAAATAACGAAGAGGAGAACGCCTGAAAGGGAATGAAAAGTCACCACGAATCAAAGGGCAGAGCAGCTCAGCCACATTGTGTGA